TTGTTGTTGTTTAGTTGTGTCTTTGTGACCCCATGGACCAGAGCATGCCAGGCCCTCCTGTCTTCCACTCCCTCCCGGAGTTGGGTCAAATTCATGTTGGTAGCTTCGATGACATGATTAATTTCCAATAAATCAGCCCTGCTGATGATGTTCTCAGCCTTACGCAAGTGTAATTTACATAACAGGATTTCACCCATCAAATGTAAATATATTTTAAAGAATATATTTAAATAATCCTTTAGAATATTATACAAAGGAAGAACATTTTCCCACTCTTTTTGAAGGAATTGTCTGAACAGATCAGGACAAAAACTGCCTATTATGTTGCTCTTTTTTGATCCTGTATGAGAATGAAAAGAAGAAAGCTTTTAAAAATTAGTGGTAGCATTTTAAATAGCCATTGAATTTTGTACAAAAAATTGTATTGACATGCTTCATTATTTATTTCGCATTTTCACAATATTAAAGAGAGCAATATTAAAGTAAATGAAGACCAAGAGATCATAACACATGTAAAAAAAAAACTAGAAAGCTAGAATACTTAATCACTTAGTGTAGCAGCACACTTTTTAAATGAGAAATGGAAAGAACAGATTGTTATAGTTGGTCATGGGAAACTAAATACAGGAAGGAGAATAACTTACTAACTGAAGAAAATGGAGGATTGGTTTAGATTGCAATATAATAGTGTTGCTTAGCACATGCAAAGTCAAGATAACCATGATGACATCTGGTCGCCAGTAGGAGAAAAACAAAGAAGAGGAAGAATGCACAGTCCTTTTCAGCCATGCCCAGAAAGCCTTTCTTTTGTGAAAGCAGACATGTTTTCTTGATCTATCACATTTATATCTTGTCCTTTCCTCGAGGAGTTTGGGACATCACACTGGTATTATCCCTTGATAATAAGTATCAAGTATATGTTTCAGATAATAGCAAATTAGATTGTTCTAATCAAGTCTGACCATTTTCAAGTGGCCCATACTAGCTCTCTCCTTGCTGCTATTGTAGCCATACCCTTGGTTATGATTTCCTATTGGATTTGGTATTTCAGTTGTATGTTTGGCATTTAGCTGGATTCTATTGAAGACAACAAATGTTTCCCACTGAGTGAATAGATTATCTAAGGCTACGTAGTTTAAACTTCTAGCTCCAAATGAATGAACAAACTATAAAGTCATGAACTCCATTTATTTATTCAAAGTAATTAAAACTTCATTGAAATTCTCAGAGGACTAAAACTTGCATTAGAATATTCATTGGAAGCTCCACTTTATTGGTTTTTTTAAAAAGAATAGTGACAATAGGAGACTTGATTTGAAAATGCAGAGTCCCGCTTTATCCTGTGTTGGCAGCTTAAACATTGAGAAGCAAGGAAGGCTAGTTAGGATCTAATTCTCAGTATGAAACTTTGCAGAAAGCTTTAAAGAAAAATCTAGCAACAATTTTCTTCTCTTTGAAGCCATCCTGAAGTGTAGAGAACAAATTCAGCCGAAGCAGCTGGGCTGCAAGATTAGGTTTTTTCCTCCCAGGAGAAGCTCCTGTTATCAGTTTATTATATAAGTGCTCCTGTGAACTGTGAAGTCCAAAGGGTGCTGACCAGGCTGTTGAAGCAATGCCTTCTGCACTTCAACAAACCAGATTGAATATTATCAGTTTCTGAACTGTACCTTCTTTATGGGAGTTGATTGGTAATGGCAGCAACAGCATGTAGTTTAGTGCGCTGCTTCTGCATAGTTGTACTTGAGGCTAGAGGCTGGGGAAGAAAGTTCCAAAGCTGTTCTGAAAGGAGCAATGTGACTAATGTAGAAGGAATAAAAATTGTGACGATGGTATTCCTCCAGACCGAGCAACGCTTTCTGTTTCTATTGTTTTATATTCAGAGTGTTTGCTGATCACTTAGGTATACTTTACAGTTTCATGAGGCCATTTGAGATGAGCCATGGACTTTGATTTCTGGAAATGCCAGTCTGTTGAACATATAAGGAACTGTGCTTGTGCAACAAAAGGCCTGGGATGGCTATAGTCTGGACATCTTCATGATCTACTTACAGTGCTCATTATTTGAAACATAGAGATCCTTAACCCTCCCCCATGAAGCATTGTATCAGTCACTCTATACGTGCCAGTCTTTTTGTTAAACTACTTCAGATTCTTAACTTCTGCTATCCTTGAAAAACAGTGTCCTTGAAGAGGGAAGGCAATATGTGTTTAAAGTCTAGGGTATTACATGCCAAGAATGAGGAAAGCCACTAGATGCCAAGTCCCATCAACCCTAGCTGGTACTGCCAGTGGTGAGGGATCATGAGAATTGTATGTCTGGCATTTACCCAGGTTCTATTGAAGACAAAAGATCTTGTAGTCCAGCAAAATCTGAAGGGTAACGTGTTCTTATTTATTTTATTTATATCCCGCCTATCTGGTCAGTTACGACCACTCCATCTTTGCTGTACACAGGTTGTTTTAAATATCCCTCCGTTGAAGCTAAGCAGATGTACATTTGTATAGTAATATTTATTTATTTATTTGAATTCTCTACCACCCATCTGGCTTTCAAGGCCACTCTGGGTGGTTTACACACTAGACAGACATATCATCAAACAACGATTTAAAACAATAAACATAATAGTTAATCAAAGTTAGAAACAAACACACTAACAACATTTAACTGATAATAATTAAAATTATATAAAATCTAAATGCTGTAAGAGATCACTGCTAGCATAAGGCTGTATTTATAATAAATATTTTTAGTAAATGGCAGGGGAGGAAACCATTCTGGGAAACAAGCTATTGTTTCTATTGGTTCAGGAGTCCTAAATTAAAGTTACAATTGGTTTTAAACACTGGGGGGTTTGATTTTTGATTTTTAATATCATGTGAACTTGAATCCTGCCATTTTTCCATGTGACACTGTCTAGATACAGAGAGGTCAAGCTGGCTCTGAAACGGTTGCACTTTGACAGACTGCCAAAACTATATTATCTTGCATGGCCTTTGGTCTCTGGAACAGATCTTTTATTTTATTTTCTGAACTTTTATGCCACCTTGCTCCCAGTGACAGTACTCAAGATGGCTCACACATCATTAAAAGAGAATGGAATGTCCGTGAAGTCAGACTAGCATCCTGTGGAGTTTAACCAGGCTAAGTATAAAGACCCAAACCAAACCCACTGGGACTATAGAAGCACCGAGGACAGAGGTACCTGGAACTTCACCTACTGACCAAATAGACTCTTTGTAGAGCCAGCAAGCAATTCAAATCCCCACCTCATAAAACCTAGCGAGATGCCGCAGCCAGCCCACTTGCTTGGTTCTGCAGTTTTACATCTACAGGCTACATCAAGGACCCAAAAGATAGCCCCAACTTCAAGGGCTGGTTATTTGAAAATTGTTTCTTGGAACATAGCTGGCTGGGACTCTGGAATGAATGATCAAGGAATTAAACAACATACAAGAAGCATTAAAAAATAGTTAAACATGAAATATTAAGATCATCATATAAAAAGTATTAAAAAGTATAAAATCATTTAAAAATACTTTACATCAAGGTGGCATTTACATTTGTTTTCTAAATTGTAAACATTTTCTTTCAGAATCATTTTAAGTCTCCTTTAAAAACATATTGTCATTACTATAATGATAATGATGATATATCACTTTGGGACCATCCTCACTCCAAAATAAATGAACACAAACTCTTCCATATAATTATTTTTTATCTTTAAAAAACTACTTGCGTTGGGTGAGTTGTGGGCTATTTTCTCTTTTTATGAGATTTTAGGGTTAGCAGTGCAGTTAGAGTTAGTATTTAATATACACATCATGACTTGACTGCACCCATTGAATATTCGTCCTGAAAGGCACAAACTTGCTGACAACCAGGAATGCCACTTCTGCTTATTGGTGCTGTGGTTCACTGATACACAGCATGAAACATTTTTTATCCTAGTATGTTACGTTGGCTGGAACAAAAGAAAGCCTCCCTGGCAAAATCCAGTAGATTCATTGGAACGATGTTTGTTTTTCAGGGAATGACGCTGCAGAATGTGTACATTGCAGGTCTCAATCTGACTGAATGCCCTCTTCCGGCATATGTAAGCTAATGGGACCCAATTCAGTTGCAACTAAATTGATTCTCATTTGTGCCAATTAGACTTGTCATTAATATTTTGTTCTTGTTAATTGAACTTCAGCATGGCAAACTTCTGGATTGCTTTTTTTTATGTTTTCTGTAGTGAAAGGTAAGCTATAGTGAATGTCTCGATTTTTGTTAAAATAGTAAGCCAGATCCATATAATACTTTGTCAAGAAAGCAGTTTGTTTGGTTTGGTTTTGGTTTTTTGAGGCTCCCTAAATCTGGTATCTCTACTGCCTTCATTAATTTAATCATCTAGTTAGATCGTTCCTTTGCATGCAAACACTCTGACTGGTATGGTAGCAACTTTGATCCTGTTCTGAAGCAAATTCAGACTGTATAATTCTGAACACACACTGTGTGTTTAAACGCATTGTTTGTTTTGTAATTTATACTTTGAGCCAAAGTGGTAAGAAAGAACAAACTATAACCTGGGAGCCTAAGTGAAAATGATGATGCTCCTCTTGTGTCCACTGGCTCACAATACCTGGACTGCTTAGGGCATTTGTGGTAGCCTCAAGAACATGTCATGTGAACATAATGGTTTGAGTAACCATGAAACTTAGTTTTGTTTTTTGGTTTTTGGTTTTTTAAAAAAATTCTGGATAGTATCAACCCTTACAGTCTTTGTGTCCTTTGTGACCATAATTCTTTTGTTCTGTCTGTAACAATGTGTATTGTAATGGTCAACACAACAATAAATTGCCCTGATGGACATATAGAATTATAACATTGGTGGCTTGATAGTGCTGAGTGAGCCCGCATGACTATGGTAGCATATGTCTTATCTTACCAGCAAACGTTCTCTCTAGACTTGTTGCTTTAATAAGCTGCTTTCTAATACACCGTTTCCTCTCTGTTTCAGCATTAGCCATTACGTCCTTGTGATGTCCTTCACTATCTTTCTGATGCTCTTAAGCGGACTGGCCCAGCTGCTCACTACAAAGAGACTAGGCCTTTGGGAAGGAACAAAGCACCATTCATTGTGACAGATGACTGAGATGCCCATATTTTCGGAACTTGCACTCTTCCTGAGGGATAGATAGAATTATGAGATTGGCTGCTTGAACTCGTAAAGAACTTGATACTACAGACAATGCCTTGACCCTGATTGTCTTTAGAATTGAATCTAGTGTGTGTGTGTTTTAAAGGATGGTGAAGGTACACTGCCGTAAGCCTCTTGCCAAAACCCAAATGACAGAGTGACCTTTTTTGGGGGGTGTTAAATATGAGTGCTGTGCTCAGTTTCCCAGTTGGGATTCAGATGGGTGACAAGAAGGGAAATTGGCTCTATAATTTGTCTGAAAGGTACAGGAAAACAATTCCAAGGACTGCTGTCTGTAGGACACAACTACTGTCTTGCCCGTTGTCCTTAAATCACTATCCATTTTTGGACAAAATAATAGATTGATATGCCAAGAGATCAGCATGCTCCAGAATTTATTTCATGCTGTGTTTCATTTTGGAGTTTAAAATTAATCTTAAAGGCTTATGTATAAATGGGTTGAGACTAAAGCTGGGATTCTGCTACTTTTTAAAATGGGTGTGTGCTTGTGTGGAGAAAGAAAGGACTTTTTAAGCACTGTATTTTTATACTTCTTTAAGATGCAGAAAACAAATGCAATTAATTCAGGAAACAATATATTTTTTTCTCTAAGTAAACCAGCAAAATCTTATAATGATGTGAGAGGGGGCTGGGCCACAAGTGTATCATTGGCACAGTATAAAAATGGGCACCATGTTGCATAATATGCTTTTGGTGGTTTTAACACTTTCATCTGGAGGGTTAGTCTGTCAATTAAAAAATGAGCCTAATGCTTCTCCAGCCAAGCCTTGATAAGTCAACAGAACTTTTCCAGTGAGTGACAGTAGTTGCTGTTGCTGAAGAATTTAGGGGGGCAAGAGGGATGGATAGTGTATTCAAACTAGATTGAGAGCTTGTGATGCTACCAATTCTAAAAAACAACATGAAGTTATTCTATATATTTTGCTTAACATATTTTTTTCCTGGATATAATATGTAAGAAGCTGTAGGAAACCAAGAATTGGTTATACAGTGGTGCCCCGCATAGTGACGTTAATCCGTTCCAGGATTAACGTCGCTATCCAGAAACATCGCTATGTGGGGGGGGGGGAACGTTTAATGCATTCCTATTGGGGAAAAACTCACCGGTAAGCGAAGATTCCCCCATCCGGCCGCCATTTTCCCTGCCCGGTAAGCGAAGAATCCGGGCAAAAACACAGCGGGCGGGCATTTTACCAGCTCCGCTCCAGCCCCTCCCCCTCCCCGCCTTACAGCTGATCCGCGCCGCTCTTAGAAGCTTGCCCAGGCTTGCCCAGCAGGTAAATAGGCAGTGGAAACGAACTCACCGGTAAGCGAAGATTCCCCCATCCGGCCGCCATTTTCCCTGCCCGGTAAGCGAAGAATCCGGGCAAAAACACAGCGGGCGGGCATTTTACCAGCTCCGCTCCAGCCCCTCCCCCTCCCCGCCTTACAGCTGATCCGCGCCGCTCTTAGAAGCTTGCCCAGGCTTGCCCAGCAGGTAAATAGGCAGTGGAAACGCCCTGGGGAAGCCTCTGAAAGCGGTGCTTTGCCGGGGTGGGGGTGGGTGGGGATGGGTGGGGTGTGGCAGGGGCAGGCCCTCCACCCCCAGCGCCCCCCTGTGGCAAA